AATATACAAGTTTCACTTTTTAAATGGAATTACTGAAATCAATCTACTTTTTCATGATATTCTAATTTTATGACCAGCACCTGTATATGCAACGTGTAATTACCATAACAATGAAATCAATACATGTATATTACAAGCACATTATCAATTTAACAGGTTTGGCACATATGTATTTTTGTCCCCCATTAATACATTCATTTTGATGTGATGGATTTGTATAATATGTTATATTACATGATTTATAGACTTCATTGACTTCATACTGACTATGCAATGTGATTGCCAATTATATATATTATTAATTACGGTAATCTACTTAAGACTTTTAAAACAAAGATAAAATCATCACATTGACATACACTTGCTGTTTCATAGCATAAGTCCCCCTGAAAATGGGAAAATTCTCGTTGTTCAATGCTTTAGCGCACATATTGCTTACATTGCGACCGATTTAACTGGGGGGTACCAATATGGCAGCCGGTGACTTCATTTCAACCCTGTACTACCAACATCACTACAGCAATCCAGTGAATAAATAGAGATAAGTGGTTTCAACCATAAAAAAGGGTTAATTTCTGATCTATTTTAGGTATTTTCAGCTTCAGGAAAGTTTGTTAAGCTTGTAGAATTAGAGCTGCTCACACTCAGTGCCTGTGATCAAGATGTAGACAAAGCTTACCAAATCTTATTACACTATTATTACATGATGGATTATTTTACTGTTGTTCTTTAAATTGCTTTCATTTAGTAATGTGGAAAATCATACTTTATTATCTATATTTAAAAAAAACAGAGGTTGATATTACGTTATTTAATCCATTTTGCTCCAAATTACTCTTTTAAAATTCCTCTAGGATCCATCAAGACCCTGAATTCTTTATTTTAGTCCACAGGGACTAAAATGGTCTTTTAAGGAAAGTTGATTCTGTGTCTGTGAAGGTTTGATGCATCACAGACTGCAGAGTACAGTTAAAGATTTATATATTATGCTTTATATCTAAGCATCACCAGTTTCTAGAGAATTAATGACCAGGTTCTGGCTGCTGCGCTACGTTCAACGCTGAAACCTGAAACTTATGGAGCGTTTTTGGCAACAGTCGCAAGACTGTCAATCTCTGCTGATAAGTTTGAGACAATCTGGACTCTGTAAAGTTCTTAAAGCAAAATATTTGTTTAAAGTATTTGTATATGGGGATTTCTCAGTTTTTTTTTTCTTTTTTTGCAGATCTTTGTCACATATCTGAATAGCCCTGGTATTTCCAGTACAAGTCACAGCATCACGGGTCCTCTACTTTGCTTTAAGGAGTACAAAACACATCCTTCATTTCAGGCACGTTCTCTTGTCTTTCCAATTTCCAAGACAAATAAGCCACTGTGTGCAGTTATATTCACACCAAAGGGCGCAGGTGGATAATTCAAAGTTTCATAGACTCTGTGAGAAATTGAATTTAAAAATTCATAAGTTTTAAAGGACAGCCTGTAATATGGGAACCCGAATTTCTGTATAAAACAGGAAACAACTTGCACCTAATTTACATGTATGCTTTTTTTTAAACATCTTTACCGGAGTACCTCGTGTTCTAATTGGTGAAACTTCTGCTTATCCAGTAATAAAATACTAACTAAATGGAAAATGAATTAAAATTGAATTGTCATCAATTAATTTTGTCTTCAGTCCAAAATACAAAACTACAGACAGCTGAAAGTGGACTGAAAACTTTTTATCATCAGCAGAATATGAGTGATGTCATCACAATGATAAAGCTGCGTTATCTGATCATTTACCTGTAATACAATACAACACTGGATGAAGTCATCGAAGGCCACCTGTCCCTTCCTCTGCCGGTCAAACTTCTCTATCAGAGTGCTGTAGAACTGGTCTGACAGACGATAGCCTGCACACAAGGTGTATAACGTTAATAATGCTTCATAGGCAACTGTTTAATGTTTGCATTTGAAAAAAAATATATAATTTTTCCAGGTTTCCAAGTTCCAGGTTTTTATTGGACAAGTTATACAGTCCAGGTGATCAGTCTGGATGTCAAAGACCCCTGAGATGCGTAGGATTAACGATGAGGATTAAAAAAAAAAAAACTCTTACAGTGGAATATTTTAACTGGATTTTTGCAAAGCAGACCAGATAAAGCAGTATTGCCTTTTTTATCCCATAAACAAGCAATGTACAGAAAATAAGAGAAGTTTCTTTGTTTTTTTTAAACTTGCCACTAACGCTTAATCTGAAGATTAATGTATGAATGATTAACAGAAAATGTAGGAAGTAAAAAAAAAAGAAAAGAAAAAAATGCAAATAAGTGGCAAGTTTAAAAAAAGGGTTACCCTCCTCCTGGCTCCTCGTACAGCAGGTCAGAGAGTCCGGCGCCTGCAGCCCTTCACCACCGCTGAGCAATTAGAAAACTACAAAGGCATACTTTTCTGCTCACCGAATCCGGTCAGTGCCTGTTTGAGCTCGTTCCTGTCGATGAAGCCCGAGTTGTCCCTGTCGTAGGTCCTGAAGATGTTCTGCCAGTCTGTGATGTACTTCCACACACCGGCGAACTCGTTGAAGTTAACACCACCTTTGTTTTCCCTGTCAAACATGGCTGGGGGGGGTGCAACAATCATGTTACTAGAGGTTTTTCTTCATTTTTTTTCAACTCTTCAACCACAAACTTTAAGGAATTTGGCAGACATTTTCTTTGCCAAAATAAAAATCTTACATCTCTAATATCTCTCTGTCAACATCATTGCTTCCAACTGATTTTTTTCCTATTCTTCATCTTTTTAATGTATCTTCGCTGCATTAGGTCTAAACAAAATGACTGCATGACCTCCTTAACATAGCTACCATCATCATTTGATCTGTTTTTTTTGTTTTTGCAGCACTAGTGACTCTTTTTTGGACAGCAAACTGACAGGAAAGGGGGTATGAATGAGGGGGGGGGAGGCATGCGGTAAAGGACCACAGCTCGGATTCGAACCCGGTCGGCCGCATCAAGGATTAAAGGCTGATGCTGATTAAGAGATTCTCAGTCATCCAGGTCATAGTCATTCCGTAAAAGTTTGAGAACAATCCACTGGACTGGTTTCCAAGGTTTGAAGACGTTTCGCTTCCCCTTCCAGGAAGCTTTCTCAATTCCCCCGCCAGGACGCTTCCTGGAGGGGAAGCGAAACGTCTTCGAACCTTGGAAACCAGTCCAGTGGATTGTTTTCAAACTTTTACGGAATTAAAGGCTGATCTATACTTCGAAACTAGGTTGTCTGGGTGGGTGTCGCAGTGAACGCAAAGACATCCCTGCCCCCTCCGCAGACACTCTGCTACACCTCTCCCAAATTGTAGGTGACTGCAGACGGTGCCACCAGGGCTATTTGATCTTACATAATCCATTAAGATGTAAAAACCAGCAACTATCAAGGCTTTTAACTTTTCAATAATATCTAAAAGTACTACAACATGTGCAGCTGAAACAGGTTTTTATTGTTTTATTGGTGCCATTTAATGCTTTTCAATTAAAATACATTGAAACCGACAGAGTCGGTTATTTGCGGGGGGGGGGGATTAAAAAAAATCAGCAGAGTAGGATTTTAAAGATTGGTGATAAGCCAGAAGAATGTAATCGGTGCACCATATCGAATTTTATCTATAGGTAAAAAAAGAAAAGAAGTAAAGGGGCTGAATTGAGATGTATGCCACACTTCTATAGATTTTATTTAACAATTTTGATAGATTTGTTTCTCAGTGTTAATCTCTCACTCAGACATCATTAAAAAATAAAGGTTGCAATTATAAGTTTACAAAAATAAAAAAAGTTATAAGAGTTGCATCACTTTTAAATAACAGGAGGGTTAAATAATGTGTTTTAAACAGACAGATACTTGAATGATTCGTCCCTCAGACATTGCTAAGAAATAAAACTGCTCTTAGGACCAAACCTCCATTTTGTCACTCTCATGCGGATCAATCCAATTACCTCCCAACAAAGGGAGTGTTATCGCATGATGAGCTTCTCGCTGCAAAGCTATAAAACACTGGATTTACTGCGCTTGGTGCTGACAGGACGAAAAGAGAATTAAAGGGATTTACTCTTAAAGCTACAATGCATCATGAGATCCAAAGTCTAGAGAATTAATTAAAAAAAAGTTTTATTGTTAATGTGTGTTACCTAAAGAAAATTTCAGTGCATTAAATGTCACCAGTCAAGTCTGAAATTACACTGCAGAGGTAGAAGTTTGTAATGTGAGCTTTATACTCTGACGAATCGATATCTGGAGTCAGATCCAGCATTCCTGCTTCACTGCAGATGCTGCTTTTGGCTCATTTTATTGGTGGCTGTAGGTTCCCAATGAAGCGCACAACAGATAAGTCTGTTTGTGTCCTTTCTGTCGTCATGGCGCTGGGACGAATAAACAACTTAAACTGTCTGAAAAAAGGCAGCTGTGTATAAGATGGGTACATCCCCGTCAGCAGCTACTTACAGATGATGGATCGGACCGTCACCGGGTTGAAGGGAGTCCATGTGCCTGAGAAACAAAGGCAAGGCGTTAAAAATCTGAACAAAATGTCATTGATCTAAATGATAGATGATGGAATTAAAGCATAACAGGAGGAATGAGAGGTGAACATGTTAGTGTGACGTACAAAAGAGATCAGATGGTTAACTTTGAGATCATCTTCAAAAGATATCTGATGTATTTTTTTTTAGGGCACAACTTTATCAGAAAATCCCCGCCATGCAGTCTTTCTGGTTTTTAGTCAAGTGAGAGAGAGAATAGTTGTTTTAAATGTTTAACAAAAAAAATCGTATATATTATTGTTCTGATTTGTGTTTTTACTCCCCTCAACATTTTAACTTATTCTTCCTACATAAAGAAATCATTTTCACATATTTCCGTCATTAAAAAGGGAATAAAAAATGGGAAACTACTCTGAAATATCGAGGAAATACTGGTAATAAATTCAAATGGAATTGAATAAGATGATTGAAAAATTATGTAAAATCTAAGCAAAAAAGTTAACCGATAAAGCTACATTAAATAAATAAGAAATGTTACAAAACTGTAAAATCTAAATCTGAGTAAATTAGTTTTAAGTATTGCTTGGGAGGACTGTTTTCTGCTGTCAATAGAGGTACAATATTAGCCGTCAGAAGAAAAGATGTTCTGTTTAGTGTGCAAATAAATTTGGAAATGAATAAATTAAGATTAAGAATAAGAATAAGTGTTCAGATTCCAAGTTAGGAGAAACGGGTCAAAGGTTTCCTTTAAGTGAAGTTAACGTCAACTTAATTCTGGAAGCAGACTTGAGTCTGTAAAAAAATAATAATCCAAAGCTGCAGCCTAAAGAACGCAAATAGTCCAACATTTAAATTTCATATTATTTTAAGGTTTTAACATTAAATCTAGTCATAATAATACACATTTACAAGTAGGGATGAAACAATCGGATTAATTGTGATTAATCCATTAGTGAAATAATCATCAACTAATTTAGTAATCGATTAATCATTAACTGGAGTATAGACACTGTTAAACATGCCTTCAGCTGATATTATAACCCACTTAGAGCAGTAATTATACCAACATTGTAAAAAAATAAATATGTAAACATTTCACATTTAAGATAAAGGTAAAAAATATGTTTTCTTTTGTCAATATGTATCAATATCAAGTGTTTTAGTTTCACCTGTTTAAAATTTGCAAAGTCTTCTTTAATAAGCCTTTGGCTATCTGATTATTAATCAATTAATCGGAAAAATAATCGACAGATTAATCAATTTGCAAAATAATCATTAGCTTCAGGCCTAACATGTAGAATATGTAGCGGTTGACCAACTAGTCAGCAAAATATCGGCCAATTTTCCCTTTACTGGTGCTGATTAGTGATCAAGGAGGCAGGCAGCATGCATCACAATGTACACCAAGTTTAATTAAAACAGATTTAAACAAGAACATGAAATCAAAATATACTTCCAACTACAACAAATCAAACTACAACATCTATGAATGAAACAGGAACAAAATGTACAGGAAATGATTGACCAGGTTATTTCTGATAGTTCTAGCTTCCTCTGCCCCTTCATCCTGTGACCATGTTGGTAAAGCAGGGAAGAGCTGTGCATCAAACACTGAAAGTGCCTGACAGCAGCAGCAAAAGGGAGCAATCATCAAATGAGCACAACAAATAGTTTGGTGTAAGGAGAAAAAAAAATGGACGGTGGAGAGTCTGAGGTTGGAATGTCTAATTTAAAGGCCCCCCACCAAAACAGTTATTTTCTCTCTAGAGCTCAATGTTCAATCACAGGAAATAAAACTGCCACCTCATAGGCCCCTGAAACCTGAGGGGATCTGAATCCTTGCTGAGTCACAAACTGTCTTTATCACAGGGCAAAAGTTTAACAGCAGGAAGGAAAAATTGGTGATTTTTGTGAAGAAAGGAAGGAGATAACAAAAGCAAAGAAAAGGAAAATAAAGAGTTAGTCATTGTTGAAATAGCTGGAAGCAGTTCATTCTGCTGACCCAAGGGCGTTTCTGAAAATTGGAACCACAAACCATAAAAGTGCATTGAACGGAAAATAAAGCTGCTTCTGGACTAAGATGATAAAGATAAAGTGTGGAGGAATTTAAGGACATGAGAAGAGATTTTAGGAGCCTTCTTAAGGAAACACATGATGTCTTCCCTCTTCCTTTTGTTTTAATTTATTGATGAGAAACGGCTGTCGAGGTCTAAGAAAAGGCCTAATCAGGATAAACCCTGAGGCTCCGACTCAATCTGGGTTCATGTTCCTCTGTTAAGATGCTCTTATTGATAATGCCCCCCGTGTTCTTCTATTTCACCAAATCGCTCACCAGATTATCTAAAATATATCACAGAAATTCTGGGGGAGTGGCAGACTGGTGGTTTTGGCATAGAGCTTAGAATCCTGAGGTTCTGGGTTTGAGCCCCACTCCCACAGACTGCCACTCTGGGTTCCTGAGCAAACGACCCTTAACCCCGCAATGCTCCCCGGGCGCCCCACAATGGCAGCCTACTGCTCCCCAAGGGGATGGGTTAAATGCAGATGTAAAGTTCTCCAATGTGAGATCAATAAAGTTCAATTATTATTATAATACAAATATAATTACCATCAAAGCCTGTTCATCTCAATAGAAATAGAAAACAGGTCGTTTTATGGGTTATAGCTGATTTTACACCAACAGCAGCATCAGCAGTCACAGCGATTCACTTCAAAGGTTCAGAGACTCATTTTCAGCCACTTTCAGGCCTGTTCAGCCGAATGAAACAAGAGGAGAAACAATACATCAGTTTTTAAACACTATCCGACTGCGATTGATTCAATCAGCAGTCAGCTACAATAACAGTCACAGCTTAAGGTGGACATGAAGTAAAATCAAAACTGCTGCCAAGCCTTCCCTGATAACATCCCAAAGAGGCTGAAGTGAGCAGACAGGATGCAAAGTACGAAGTACATCTCTACAGGATGCAAATCTGGTGACTGAAGGGAAGTTTATCTGGATTTTTCACTGTGACACAATTTAAAGACCCAATCATGACCCTCTTTAAGCTTTCTGGAAGAATCCAGCAAAATTTCCCTTGCAATGAGCAGATTTCTAAGTGTAAAGCTTTGTAAGCAGCTTCAGGGGGGGAGAAGAGGCAACACAAATAATTAAAGAGAATAAAAGTGGTACGTTAACATAAAATGCTTATATAAAAAAAAAAAAGTTTAATAAATGATAAACTGATAAAAGAATGGAACAAAATTTAAAGTGGAAACTAAGCTAATAAAGTTTAGATAGGAGTTTTTAAATCTGGAAATATACCAACTGAGGGTTTCAGTACAATTTTCCGGGTGTTTATTCCAGATAATTGTAAAATAAGAACCAAACGCTATTTCTTCGGAAAGTTTTAATTCTGGTCATGCAAAGTAGATATGAGCCAGAAGATAATATAATATACGATCATATAATTTGATAACTTTCATCAGGTAAGGAAAGCTTATTTTAATGTCACAATGTAGGTTTTTATAGAACTGCCAGCAAGGTCTGCATCTGAGAAAAGCAAAATCCAAACTTTTGCAAGCTGATGTTTTCAACTAAATCTAATATTTAGTTTCAAATTAAGACAACAGAATATAATCAGATTTATTTTAAGAATTTCAATGGTCTTTTTAAAAGTGTACTAATAATTAAGGGAGCTATAAAGATAAAAAAAAACAACAACAACACATTACTACATTAAAAATGCTCTATCATCTGATTTTAACCTCAGATAACTGTTGAACTGTGAATTTCAAACTTAAATGGGCTGAACACTGCATAAAATACGCTGCAGCTTAGAGTGTTGGTTTTATGCCTGATTAATGCTGGAAAGGACAAGATAACTTCATATTGTGTCTTTTTTCTCACACTGAGCCTGGTTCTGCTGGAGGATTCTTCTTAGAAGCATGCTTAGTGTGAGGGATTGCATTCGAGTCAATGAGCCAATGCGATCAACTGGTTTTCCTTAGATAGAAAACTTCAATCAATTTGACTGTATGATCTGGTGAACTGTAAAGTGCCTTGAGATTACATGTGTTGTGAATTGGCGCTATAGAAATAAACTGAATTGAATTGAATTTTTGTTTGGACTGTGCGTGCACATGCCTACTAGAAAACAACAGACTGATTTTGCAAGAACCAAATCAAGCACCTTATATTTAGAAACACTGTGCAGGTTTTTACAGACGGGAGTTTAAAAAAGGAAAATCTCCCTCTTATTGTCAAAAATTTTATTCATTTTATTTAGGGTTGTCACGATACCAAAATCTCAAATTCAATATTGATATCCAGGAAAATATTCAATACTCAGTAACTTTTTTAATTAATTTCAATGGATTTTAATACCACAACACAAAATGTATTTTAAGGAATAAAAAATAACCCTAGAAAAACTCACCTAAAGATTGCCTGATACAGGTTTTTTAATGGCAATGCTGCTTATTTTAAAAGACGTTGATAACAATGTAGGTCTATTTCTACTGAAAAATACACAGAAAATTAAGCATCTCTGGTTTTTATTCACTTCATTAGTTGGTAGGAATAATTATGATCAAGCTTCTGGTTCTAAAAAAAGTTTTCCGTTTTCCTTTAAATAAAACCACAAAAAACGGGTACTAGAAAGGCCAGACGTTTCACCAACATATGTAGCAGTGCTGCCCCTCCTCCACCTGTTGCTGAGAAATGCTGGTCAGAGACGTGATTTTATCACAAGTAGCAAAACTCATTAGGCAGCTGCTACAAGCTAGCTACCACAGCAGATAGCCTGAGTGACCAGCTAATACCAGCTCTGCTTAATTGTGTTGACGAATTAAAAAAAAACACACAAAAAAACAGACCTGCGAACAAGTAAGGCATGTGGTAAAATGAGACATTTAAAGTAATACTACTAAATTAAGTGGGTGTTTACTCCAAGGTTTAAATTGCAAGCAGAAATTTAATATTTTGCCTTGCAGCCGTTTTATTTTAGTTGCCTAAACCTAATTGTT